GACAATTTTCTGCAAATATTTTAAAACTACAATTACTTTTTTATGAGGGCTAAGTCAAAACATTTTTTAATAAATAGAAATGCATAGCAAAGTATTTACTTCACAACAGCTAATATTTATAACTTCAAATACCCACTTCATTTTTTTTTCAAATATCTTAAAATCAATATAGCACCGAGATATTACCCACAAAATTGTTTCGATTAAATCGACAAATCCCTTGTAGGTCCAATTTTGGATTTGGGTTTTGACTCATCTTTTACGCTCTTGTTTTGGTATTGTGGTCTTAGGGTAAAGAAAATCAATATCTCCTTCTTGAATTCCGCCAAACTGATTGGTTGATAAATATTCCTCGTAAAATCTTTCCAGTTTTAATTTTTAGTATAGGAAAAAATTGCTAAAATAAAACTGATAAGAAAACATCTGACTATAAAAAATAAGTTAGTTTAACCAAACAAAAGATCGGTTATTGCCGCATGTAGTGTACTCTCAAATAGCATCTGGTTTTCAATTCTCTTCAATATTAATGAAATCCGATAAATAAATAAACCAACAAAAAACGGCGACAAATACCAATATGTTTTTCTTAGAACATATTTTAGCGATAATGTAATTAGATTAGTTTTTAGTTTGTTTTTTTTTTGCTGGCCAAATGCAAAGCGCTTGGCTTATTGACTTTTCGGAATCAAGTAAAAGGTTATCAACTTTTGTCAGATGCAAATGAACGAACGGCCAGCAATGCTTATTCGAGCGTTAATAGTTACGCACCTTACACTGACTTACGGAGTGGTTCAGTGAGTCAGGTTAATTGGTATTAACAAATTCCAGCAACGAGAACACAAAGAGATTAGTCGATTTTATGCTAAAGTAGAACAACAGCTGTGAAGACCATTCTGTTGTTGTGATTCCAATTTGAAAATTGAAATTTTGTTGATGGTTCGGCATTTAGAGGCGTTCATAATTTTGTTGTTGGCTCATTATTTTGGGACATTAATGTGACAACTGTTATCACATTTTATTCGAAGTTTATGATATCGCAAAGTGTTGCAATCGATTTGCATATTTTCTGTTCAATTTTCAATTTCAGAACAGAAGGCTTTGACATTGTAGGTTGTTGGCTGGCCGCTACCTTATCCGAAGGTTGACAGTTTTTTATTTTAGCTGTTGGCAGTTAATAGTAATTGGTACTGCAGCCGTTTTGTTGTTGTTGTTGCTTTGGTTTGACAAGTGACCGTCAAAGTTTTACAGTAGCGGTCACCATCTTTGTTTAGCTTCGCATCGACCTTTTCGTAGACCTTGTAGATGTTTTTTTGCTGTTGTTGTATGTTTGCATTTGAATGACAACCAGGGCTTTGATACACCGCACCATAAATGAATATTCGATGAATATTTTTTTGCATTGATTTCAGTTGTGATGTGAAAGAATATTGGTAAATTGCGAAACCTGGGTGTTGCTGTTTTTGTCGTGGTATAAGAAAAACCAATAGAACAGTAAGCCATGGACACAATTATTTATTTCAGTCATAATTAGCATCCCACACCAAACCGTGATCTAGTTTCAATTTGTTTGCGTGCAGAAAATGTAGGAGCCCCAACGCCTACGCTTTTGGAAAGTTGCTAACGAAGATCGAACCATATTATGGCTGCAGAGAACCAAATGCTGGCCATAAAGATGTAAATTTAAGTAGTTCCAACTAATTTTAAATAATAATTAATATGAAATACAACTAAAATGTAATTGTTCACCTACAAGATGTTGCAATGACTAATCTCTAAGTGGCTCAATAAAAATACAATTGATATTTGTCTGTGGTAACAAGTTACGCTCGTTCGTCTATTTCTCTATCCATGTAAAATTGTAAACAAAGTACAAGTCGCATTTATGATCCAAATTGGATGAAATTTGCTACAGCTTATTTATTTGGCCCAAGTACAAACCCTATTGAAATTGGCAAAAATCGATTCAGTCTGTATATAAAACATATGGATTTTTATAGTCGAATTGGTCTGTATAGAGACCACAGGTCTTTAAAAACACCAATTGGTATTTATAAACCCCAGTTTTCTTCACACTGACTAATTGGTCTTTATACAGACGTATGGGATCTCAGCAGACTTGTGTTATTTATACATATTGGTCTATTGGTCTTCATAATGGCCCGACCAATTCGACTATATAAACCCCTATGTTCTATATTGGTATTTATGCACAATTGTGGTTTTCATACAAACCTGTTGCCTCTCAGCAAACCCTTTCAATCGCTCCTATACAGACCTATACACACGTTGTGTCCTATAGTTCATATAAAAATAATGGATTTGTCTTTATAATGTACATGGAAGTATCTTCATAAAGTACATGGACGATAATGAATAGGCAGTTAAGAAATCACTCCCAAATGACGGGGGGCAAAATTAGTAAAATATGGATTTCTATCACATCAAATGAGTGCAAAATTTTAGGTTGGGGAAAAAATCCATTACTTTTTCGTCGAAAATATCGATAAAATCGGAGAAATGATCGAAGTTGACCGGCATGTTAGCAGTCGTAATATCGCCCAGAAGCTAAAAATCGACCATAAAACTGTTTTAAACCATTTACACAAAACTGGATTCAAAAAGAAGCTCGATATTTGGGTGCCACACCAATTAACAGAAAAAAAGAGTAAGGAAAGTTTAAAATACGGACGAGGCCGACTATATTATACCTTTCACCACTTTGGGTACATACAAGAGAACCTCATATGTAGAATATCCTTTTGATAGAATAGACATAGCATCTTTGGAGAACCATTGAAATGGAATCGGTCGAAATTAACTGCGTGAAAGATATATGAATTACACTAAAACAATCCATACACATACCACTCTGAAATTTATGAAAAATTTAATGTCAATGCTCCATATACGTAAAATCGGACGAAACTATATATGGGAGCTATATCTAAATCTGGCCCGATTCCAACAAAACTTCCAATACATCAATCCAGACCTTATTCAGTCAGTACGCTGTGCAAAATTGTATCTTAATCGAACAAATATTGGCAGTATGGTGCATCATTTACATAAAATCGGAGGAATCTATATATATGGGTACTATATCTAAATCCGAACCGATTTTTACCAATTTCAAAAGATTTTTACCAATTGCCAAATTAGTGGCATGCCAAATTTCATTCAAATCGGATCATAAATGCGACGAATCAAAAGGATTCGTCCTTGGTCTAAATTAGTGGCATGCAAAATTTCATTCAAATCGGATGAAAAATGCGACCTGGACTTTGTTCGCAAAAATACATGGACGGACCGACGAACGGACATGCATAAGTCGACTCAGAAAGTGATTCTATGCATATTCTCAAAAGGAACCATTCGTCTATCTCTATTCCTTTTGCCTGTTACAAACATATGCACAGAGACATAATACACCGTTGGTGAAGTGTATAAATATGATGGATCGAAGTCCATCTGCATAGCCTTGCTCAACGGAATGAAATAGACCCATCTCTTAAACGGATGTTGACTGGAGATGAGAAATGGATCACATACGATAACCCTGTGCGAAAACGATCGTGGTCAAATAGCGGCGAAGCACCCCACACGGTGGCCAAACCAGGACCAGCGGCCAGGAAGGTTCTGCTATGCATTTGGTGGGTCTGAAGGGGATTATTTATTATAAACTGCTTTCATATTTAATTCTGATCTCTACAGGACAGAATACGCCAAAAGGAGAGGTGTCGTGTTCCACGCTAGGCCACACACATCTACAGTGACTCGCCAGAATCTTCGGGAGCTTGGTTGGTAAGTTTTAATGCATCCGTCATACAGTCCTTGGCACCAAGCGATTATCATATTTTTCTTGCTTTACAAGATTTCTTTAATGATAAAAATTGGTATCTAGGGAGGATTGTAAAAACCGACTACTACAGAGAGCAGAACTTCTATGAGAGTGGAATTATGAAGTTACCTTTAAAATGGCAACAAACTGGATATTCCGAAGCATGTTAAATAAAGTCCTATAGTTCAACCTAATATATTCCTAGTAAGTGCAAAATTCTAAATCCAATGCTATCTTCTGAAGAAAGTGAGATAAGGTGCTGGAATTCTGCAAAGGGTTGTTTTTTGTCCGCAGACATGTCAACTTCGAAGATGGAATAGATCTAAACCGAATTAGCAGTAGTTTAGTGTTTTTGGTTCTCAATGTTTACCAAATCATCCAACCATATATTATAAATATTAATTTACTCTTTAGGGTACCCCCATATAACGCAAAAAAATGATTAAGCATATTTTTCTCATTATAGGGTTTCGATGATGTACAAATGGAAATACAAACTTAATATACCCTCCATATTATGTTGGAGTGTGTACAAATTTGCCATTCACTCAGAACTAAAAATATACAACACGTTTGAACAATAAAGCAAGGATGTTGAGTATTGAAAATATGATGCGTATCCAGAAATTACAAATATTGGTCTATTGTTATATAATTTAACATACGTTTGTCATAATTTCCTTTCGAAAATAGCTGCAACTTAATATTGGTTTAAAAACCTTCAGGGCAAAAGCTTGTTCCTGGCGTACAATTTGTCCTTACATAATTAAAAAAAAAAAAAAAAAAAATCAACAAAGGAAACCACTACAACAATTTTGATTTTATTGTAATAAAAAAATCTTAAACAAATATAAAATGCAATAAATTAATTTAAATTAAAACTTAAAATTACGTAGAATAATAAAATCTAATAACTAAATGGAAAAGTAACGGCATAACATACACTATTCTGTGAGTGAAACTGCAAATTAACTTAAATAAACTTTTTTTTTATAAAATGGAGTTCAAAAAACGATATTCAACAAAATTTTTCAAAAATGTCACTGAAAGAAACTGAATAAATCCAGAATAGTTAGTCTTTTGAATTTATTAAAAAAATTAACTTGTCCTGTGAGTTCTCAATACTATACCCTCTACACAAAAAGAACACAAATCAAAGTATTCATAGACGTCGATAGGGACGGGCATTTTGTTTCTTTTGTTGTACCGAATTCCAGGGTGCATAGTGACCGGCATACATGGGTACCATGTGTTTCTTATCACGTTTCACCATCGACTGGACCAGACTGGCGGAGGCAGCGTTTTGCTCAATCTCAACGTCATCGTCATCCTCTTCTTCGTCGATTTCCAGTAGATCCAAATTTGAGGGAATTTTAGGTTCCAATTTGCGAGGTTTCTTGCCACCTCCCCGTTGGAAATAGGCTGAGTAATCATGTCGTGGCTTGTGATTAAGATATTTGTGGGGCAGGGAAGCATAGTGCTTAAGGCCAAGGGTAGTCTTTACCCCAGTCTTCTTGCTGTTGAATGGTATGGCATTACTTTGAGGATCAGGATATGCTGGAGCGGTTATTTGATAGCGCTGAGGATATTGATGTTGTTGTGGATGTTGTTGAGGATGTTGTTGTTGTTGAACTATTTGTTGTTGTGGATAATGCGGCTTTGAGGCAATGAATTCGGTATGTCTTTGTGGTTTATACGATGGCTTGGCTATTGGCTGTAAGGGCTCATTGTTGTAGTGGTTAGATGACGAGGGCACTGGATGTAGATAATCCTCCACGTTTTGATAACCTTGACTAAGACCCACTACAGCTTTCCAATCATTATCTTGATGCGAATCATAACTCGGTGAAATGGCGCCCGACGGTTGGAAACTATTTTGTGCCAATTCTTTGTAATAATTATCACGGGCCTCCTGTAAACGTTCTCGCATGCCCGGTTCCAATTCCATGGGCACCTGCCGAATACGGGCATGTGGTTTAAATTCAATTAAACTGGGTATTTTCGGATGTGAGTGTGTTAGATCCTCTATGGGCTTTTTAAGAGGTTTAATATCGGAACTCAAGACAATGTGTTCTTGATCTTTGCTATAGTGATTGATTTTCGATTGTGAGGTATCATCACTTTTTGCATCTATGTCATGTGGTGAGTCGGTGACGGGATGTGAATTGGCACCCACTGTCTTTACAATGGCATTGAAACCTGATTTGGCATCTGCTGTATAGGTGACGGTGCGTATGGAGCCGTCTGGCTCCAGTACACTGTAATGACCCTTGACACCATCGCCCTCACGCGATTCCCACTGAGATTTAACATCGCCGGTATGCAGATCTTTGACGCCATAGCTGAAGGCATATTCTGGGTGTACCTGGGCAAATGATAAATTAAACAAACAAAAAATTGAAATTAATGCTCTGTCAATATTACGCAATGATTCTGTGGCGGCTTGAGACGCACTTTGCTCCAACAAATCAACAAGCAAACAAACAAAGATAGAAACTTTTAGTGTTGTTGGTGTCGCTTGATCGCATAACCCCTGGTGTGGAGTTTTACCACACCTTGTTCTCAGGCAGTTGGAACTGTGAACAGTGTATCAGAATATAAATGTATGTGTGTGTGTGTGCGTTTCTATTTTTTTAATCTTGGCAAATTTATGTGGCAACAATTGTGAAACACTTTTTTCTCCATCTCTATCTTTAGCTGAATTGTTCACTCTGTTTTTTCTTCTGTCTAACAAAAAAGCTTAATCGCAACCAGCAAAAACAACAAAAACGACATATTCTAAAGCTTAACGGAAAAAAATTAGGCCAAGGCAATCATCCAAAACGGACATTTTAATTAAACTCAATGGGAAAATTGTTTTGCTCTCTCCCTCTCTATCTTGGCGGTTTGGAGTTTGCTATGCGGGCATTGGTGTTCCACCAACGCCACCACGCATGCGTGCAGTGTATTTGTCGTGTGTATGTTTTGTGATTTTTTGCGGATTTCTATTCAACAACTTCGCCGTGTCATAAAATCATGTCGACATGGATAAATTTCTATTGACGGAAAATTAGGAGAGGTCTCACTTTGTTGTCACATTGACGATATGGTTAATGGTCACTGCATTTTTAAATGGAAGGAAATTGGAAGGTTGTGTCATGCCACACTTGTTGCAAGGCAAGTGTCAATCAGAAAGCTATGTCAAAATGTGTTGTAGTATCAGTACCATATTAGGCTTTTATGATCCGAAAACTGTTTATGGGTGTTCGTTCTAAATGTTCGCTGACTCATTTTAGCTTTAAAATTGAGCTGAAGGATATTGTATTGCCTGGGTTATCTGACATTTAATATTGGAACATTAAAATCGGAATTAATTGGAAAAAGTAAGTAAGAGGTGTCCTACGAAGCTTAGAAGCTTCTAAATCGAATATTAATATTTGTATATTCCTCAAAACGTCTTAGAAGAAAGATAACCTCAATAAAATACTGTTGCGTTCTGAAAATATCAAAAATTGGACTGTAAAAATAAGGTGGATTACAGCAAAAGGTAGATCAATATTTGTTATTTCTGGAGGAAAATTTACTACATAATGACAACGCTAAACACAAAATTACGACATATTCGGTAGGAAAACATATCGGCATCTTTGAACGACCAAAAATCGGGAATGTTACGGGGAGGCCATACAAATAACTGCAAAAGCTAAATTAAGCCCAACTTGGTTACAAATGTTGACTAAAAAAATCAAAATATTAAAACCATTAGGTAAGGTTCAAAAGCCGGACGGGCT